ATATATATATATTATCAAATCCACAAATATTGTTATAGATCTATAAAAATACCACATCCTTAACATTAATAAATGTTACAATTCCAGCTACTTAATTAAAATTAATTTTTAAGACTATCGTTGACAAAACCGTTAAAAAACCACAATTTATTAAGTCAAGGTCCACGCATAATTATTTTTGGTACATTAAAATTTAATTTTGATTAATATTAACTAGTGAATTACAATATTATCAAAAGAAAAAATTATAAAAAAGCTATTTTTTTTTATACGGACATAATCTATGTAGTGTCTCAAAACTAACAATTAAAAATTAATTTATATTTACTAAACGTAATTTTTATTAGTCAAATATTATTTTAACGCAAACAAGAATCGAACCTAGAAGTACAAGTTAACTCTCGTATCCAAAGACAAGTCTTACAACCACTAGATAATAAAAGACTTGATTAAAAAAATTAATTAATTATATTTACAAAAAATTATTATCCATTTAATGTCTCTAAACTCTAAAGTAATATTAGTTTGATTTTTATTTGTGTTAAAATAATGTTTTATTAACAAAAACCTTTATGTCATGAATATGTATTAATCTTTAATTGTTAGTTTTAAAACATTATATACAATATTTACCTAGGAAAAAAAGACTTTAAAGTATCATAAATAACAAAAATAATAATTTTAATAAAAAAATTACAACAGATAAGTGTAATTTTTCTCTTGAGTATAGAGACACACCAATGAATGTTACTTGCGTCAAGTAATATTAATATAGGCGAAAAAAAATATTTGAATATAAAATAGAAAGAAGAAAGAAAAAAAAGAGGAGATTTTCAAATACTTTAAAGTAAACAGAGTGGAGTGATCTCTAATTCTCTATCAACATTCTAGGCTAGGCGAACAGATTCCGTTATACTACTTTATAATTTTGTCATTGTTACCAAACTCATTGAAATTATTGACTTAAGAAAGCCATTAACTAATTAACAATGAATTGTTCTTCATTGGAATATAAAATTCATTTTCACCGAGCACCACGCCGAGGAAAAAATTCCGAGATGCACAAATATTTGGTCAAAGGAAAAAAAATATATTTTTAATGGCGAATTTCATAAGTAATTCCTACGAATACCATAGTTAAAGAAAAGAAAAAAAAAATTATGGTAAAGGAAAAATGTAACGTAACTTACGTAAGTTTTTAACAGCAATACTTGAGACATAAGTGAGTTATGTTACAAGAATAATATGATTATTAATAGTGGAAACCGCGTAGTGAAGGAAGTCTTCACTTTCTGTCTCCATGCCACCTTCCCACTCGCGCAATAAATATTTCCAATCTCTCTCACTCCATTTCCTCTTCTTCTCTCACATAACCAAACAAACTATAAAACCATTTCACTAGCTTCACCCTATAACATTCCACCATCGTATATAAATTGGTCTTCATTTGATTCGAAGCTAGCCATTGTGTGTGCCCAAATGGCTCCACTCTTGTACAACCTCGGTCGCAGAAAGATGCTCCTCCTCTCTCTCCTCTTGTTCCTTTCTGTTTCTGTTTGTTCCAGTGTCTGCTCCGAACAACCTCAACCGCAATCTAGTATTAGCCGAAGAAGAACGTTGGAGTTGGAGGCAGAAAAAGAAGAAGAGTACCAACAACCCCTCAAAAAGAAATCCACCAAAAACCAAACCAAGCCCATCAACCTTTCATCCAAAACCGTCAAATCCAATAACCTTAATTCCTCCAAAAACCAAACCAAGCTGTCCAAAACCAGCGACGTTGTCATCCACAAACTCAACTCGACAACGTTGAAAACAAAAACCAAGAAGTCAAACTCCAGCGCCACCAAAACGGCGTCGTTGGATCCCGCGAAAACAAGCGGTGGCGGCAAGAACAAAACGACAAAAGGCACCGGAACGAAGGAACAAGGAAGCGAATCCAGGAAGAAACAATTAGTGCAAGGTTTGGAAGACGAGGAGGTGGAGGGGGATTTGGTTTCGGAGTTGAAAGATCTACCCGTGAAGTTCCAACAATCACTGATCCCTGACCTGGAACGAATCTCCACGACCTCCAAAGCGTACATAGCAAAAGCCAACAAAGAGATGACGAAAGGGTTCAAACCCTACGTGGGGAACAAGTACGCAGCCACCGTGGCCACGTTGCTATCGTGCGCCTTCGCTCTCGTCCCTCTCCTCCTCGTCTCGCTCCTCTTCAACAAAATCAAAGCCTACTTCTCTCTCCAGAAGCTCTTGATCTTCATCCAAGCCTACCTCGCTATCTACTTCCTAATTCTCTCTCTTTCCAATTTCGTCACGGGGCTTGAGCCTCTCAGGTTTTTCTACTCTACTTCGCGCTCCACCTATCTCTGCCTGCAGCTCCTTCAAACTCTCGCTTATGTTCTCTACCTCCTGCTCCTCCTCATGTACCTCGTTTTGGTCTTCTCCACGGACTCTGCCCTCGCCTCCAAGTTCCTGGGCCTGGCCCAAACCTTCGTGGGCTTTTCCGTCGGCTTGCATTACTACATGACGGTGTTTCACCGCGTCGTCTTGAAGCAACCTCCCAAGACCAATTGGAAGATTCACGCCATTTACGCCACGTGCTTTTTCCTCATTTCTTTTCTTGCTGGGGCCGATAGAAGGAAGAAGACCTACTTGGAAGAAGGTGGAGAAGAGGGCAAGAAAAATTGAATTACCTATATATACCCAATTTTTCCTTTTATTTTATTTTTTTTAAAATTTAAATTTGAAATTATCCAAAGAAACATTTACATACCCATGTTGTTCTATGGTAGCGTAATGCCGCAAGGCTTTGAGTCAACAAGCATTCAGATTCGTTCCTTAAATAAATTTAGGTGATTACTATATAGTTGTATTATTGTATAATGCAGCATTCTGAATCATATAGTATATCACTCTATATACCTCCTTAGTACTTAATTTCTGGACTCTTGCTTTTTTGTTCTAGCTCTGTATGATTTAATATTTAGATTTTAGAATTGTAGATTTCTCAAGCACCGACTTTAAGTGAAATTTTGGGACTGTTTTGCTGTTTGGAATATTTAAAAAATTAAGATTATTGTTACATGGACTACGCCTTTCCTTTATTTATTTTTTATGAAAAGCACAGAATCTCTTTCTGCTTTGGTGAACATGGTTTTGGTTTTCGATACCATCTTTTCTGTTTCGCCTTTCGGGTTGTTTCACTTGTTGCCGCGTTGTTCAGCGATTGGCACCTCGTTTGCTTTTCTCATAATTTCCTTTTCCAAGATCAGTGATTTACTATTACATCCAATCAGTGTTACTGACTCAAAGTTTTTTGTTTTTATATACTACTGTCTACTCCATATCTAATCATTCCTTCGATCCATCGACTTAATAGACTTCTTATTTACATACACAAATTTAAAAACAAATAAATGCACGCAGAACGAATACATCTACAGCAATTACATTATTATAAACATGGTTTTGTTAACCACACACACAGCCTTATGTATTGATTGTATACATCCTACGACTACGGCGTGAAACAGGATAGAATGCTGCAGAGGATACGATAGTAATTTAAGTTAAGCACCGACGATTTTCGATACCAATTACATGTGTCGGTGGTGTAGTGTAAAGTGGACAAGTGTCTCTACCCATTTGGAGCATAGGAGAAGCTTGATAAGCAGAAGTTGAAGCTCCCTTGGTATATATTTGTAGTCCCTTTCCTTTCTTGGCTAACAGTAACAGAGAAATGGCATCACCCTTCTTAACTTTATGAAGATGTACATCGTTTTTTGGTCCTGCGAGTGCAAATTCATTAACTTGGTTAGATGTAAGTCGCTTTCTTCAGAAGTGAGTCACTCTCATGGGTTAAGGGGGTAGGCACCTCCACAACATGAGTCAAATCTCGCGGATTATTGCTGTCTCTTTCTTAAATTGCATACCGAACACTCACAAATTTCGTAACACAATTCGTTCATTTCATACTTGCTGTGAATAATTTTGGTATTATATTTAATTCCTTAAAACGGATTAATTTGGGGGCAGTGTTTTTTGATCCGTAATTTGGGGGCTGTGTGCGTTTACCAAAACATAAATCATGTTTCTTACCAAACGTAATCACTTAAGGCGTGCTTGAATGAGTATTTACGAATTAGTTTATATATTTTTTTATCTAAAACTAACTTTACAGACATTTTACTATTTTAAATAAATTTATTATTTTTGTAGTTGTTAAGAAAAGTATTTGTCCTCTTTCAAAGTCTTACAATCCTAAAATTAGTAGTTGTCACCTTAAAAAAAAAACTCCAATATTGAAGTTAGTAGGTCTTAACGGTACATAAGTATAATTTCAAGAATGAATGTACCTTATAAAAGTTAAATGTAAGAGTATAAATAAAAGAGAAAATATTATTGTTAGTTGAAAAAACATTAAAGAACATTCAAGATTTTTTATTGCGATATAACGATAAAACATTATTATTAGCTATCATTAGTTGTGAAGGTTGGGGGATTGGTATGTCAAGTATTAGGAATAACACTTGCTTAGTTTGCCAACTAATATTCATATACGTACCTTACAAGTGAAGTACTAACTTTTCAGCTTCATGGTAAGAACTAAGATGTTTTTGGTGAAGTAGTCTAAGACATATTCGATACATAAGTCTCTCAAGTCTTCAACTCTTGCAGAAGAAGAATTCACTATCGTTTTAGTGGGAATAATTTTCATTTTTCTCCTTCGAATTTTGAAATCATAACATTTTGGATACGTCCTCATTTCGGGATATGTAATGTTAGGGTCACATCAAGTATAATGATGACATGTTAGTTAACTTACGAAGGTTATGGAGACCTAGGTGTGAAACATTGTAGGAATACGAAGAGTTGCCTTCATTTCATCCTTCAATCTTGAAGAGATCTAATGGTTCAAAGATGTGTGCCATTTCATTTCAATATCTTGGTATTGAGTTATGCAAAGATGGTGTCAATCTTAACGACATCAATAAATTGAAGCATGACTTGGAGGAGAATCGAGCAAGCCTCCAAGAGACACTAAAAACAAATGAGGAACCTACTCAAGAAGTCACCAAATTGTAAAGTCAAGCTAGTGAGCTTCACAATCGGGATTCTCATGCCCAAGACCGTCTTTGACATCTAAAGGAGGCAAACAACAAGTTAGTCATCAAGAAGAAGAGTTTGAAGAGTCAAAAGGACTATAAATCTCGCGATGAGAAGATATCCTTGAGGGAAGTTGTTGAGGCAAAGATAAGGAGACTAAGTTGTACATCTATAAGCAACATGTGATCGACTTAAACAAATCCATTCGACAAGTCATCCACTTTTATTACTTGGAGGACCTTTCTATCTTCAATATAGATAAAGATGTCTACCGAGGTGAAATGGTAGATGTGACAGACTTTTCAGATGGTTATGGGATCAAAGTTGTAGCTAACGTGTCAAATGCCCAAGTGGAGAATGCTAGGGAGGTCCATATGGAGGTGGAAAAAGAGGAGTCCGTCCAAGTCGTTGATGAGTTGGCAAATTAGTTTGTAGTAAGGGGTTGATTACTCGTATTTGTGATATATTTTTTTTACACAATTAATGAATTTTACATTTTGTTCATATGTCTCTTTATTTTACATTTTTGTGCTTAGTTTATTCAAACATGACTGAAGACTTGCACTTGGCCATAGTTTTACTCAATTGAGATCTCCTTATACCAAAATTTCATACTTGGATTTTTTATTTTACTTGATTGAGAACTTTTACTCAGTCAAGGTCTTCTCGTACTAAAATTTGATACTTGGATTTTTTTTATTTTACTTATTTAAGAGCTTTTACTCGATCAAGATCTTCTCATACCAAAATTTTATACTTGAGTTTTTTACTTTTACTTAATTGAGAGCTTTTACTCGACCAAGATTTTCTCGTACCAAAATTATATACTTAGTTTTTTTTTTATTTTACTTGGTCGAGAGCTTTTACATAGCCAAGGCCTTCATGATGTTGGAACAATACATAGAAGTAATGAATACTTTATTAATGATATTGGTGTGCCTTGTTAAAATATTTATGCCAAAACCCTTTTTTATGGGAAAAAAGATTGATGGTAAATATATGGTTAGGAGGGCATATAGAAATCTAGTTATATCCTAAACAAGCATCCTAAAAACTTAGTATCTTATGCTTGACTACCTTATCCACCAGTCTATCAATGCTAGGCAAGGGATAAGCATCATAGAGACAAACTTTGTTGAGAACCGTGTAGTCTACACACATCCCCCACTTACCATTATTTTTTTCTTTTTTAACCAAGACCACATTAGCAAGCCAAATTGTATATCAAACTTCTTAGATGAATCTGAGACTTAACAACTTGGACACCACGACCTTTACATTCGTCCTTTGTTCTTCACCCATTTTCTCTAGTTTTAGGCTACTAGTCAAACCTCTCGATAGATAGACAAATGGTGGCAATGGAAGGAAGGGTTTATGTTCGACATGTTGGATGCCGACCATGCAAACAAGTCAACATTTTCCTTCAAAGTGTTGAGTAATAAAGTTTTTTCCTCTAACTCCATTTGTGTACCAATGTTAGTACACTACCTTTCTACCTTTCCCAAACTGATATTTCTCATTTTCTGTAGTCGGTTCCATTCGAGCTTCATCACTAACCCTTGGATCCAACTCCACCAGTTTTACTTGTTTCTCCCTCATTGAGGAAGTGTAATCGAATGCTCGAATAAGTTGTTTTTTGACCTCAACTTAGCTTACTGAAAGAATCATCTTAAGTTTGGTTGCATAACATTCTTTTGTTATCTTCTAATCAGCATGGATCATTATTATCCTCCTTGTGGAAAAAGGGAACCTCATTGCCATTTGCAGTGTTGACACTATAGCACCCAACTTATTAAGGGAAGGTTACCTTGACAAAGCATTGTAGGAGGTGTTGGTATTGATCAATTATCCTAATTATCCTCCTATTCTTGTCACCATTGTCAAAGGTAGTCAACAAGTTGACGTACGTATCCTCTCATATTGTCATAATCTTTCTTATAATTATATTCCTTCACGCCTAAAATTTTGAGGAATGATATTTATTACTCTCTAATTCTATAATAAATGTCACCTTAAATTATTTTATATAGATAAAAAATCCAATAAATAAGTAAAAAAGAATAGTAATTTTATAAATTTATCTTATAATTAATCTTATTTATTAAAAATATAACACTAAAAATAATTTTTTATATAATATTATTAAGAACATAAAAAATGATAGTTAATATGTAATTAATATTACATAAAAAATGAATATACAATTATATGAGGATTGTCTTTTTCCAAATGGGACACGGACCGGGAGGGAGTACTTTGCACATCTTCAAACCTTTTTTTGGCACCCATGTATTCATAATTTGATGGTTCGAATTTTATATTTTGTTAACTTTATAAAGTATATAAAAAAATAAAAACTCAAATATGCTCTTAATCTTTATAAAATTAAGAAAAAGTGACATGTTTCTCTATTTTTTAAGTAAATTAAAATAATAAAATGAATAAATCGTGTAATAAATAATTACATGAATAATTATTTAAAGAGAATAAGAAAATTTGAGACGAGAAAGACATTAAAAGAAAAAAGTAATTTAAATTTTATGAGTAAAATAAAATAAAATAAAATAAAATAATCTATATAAAAATAAAGATTAAAGTAGTTATTGAAATAGATCTTACTTTATAAAATGGTATAGATGAGTGAATTTTAGCTCACTTGAATAAATAGGCTTAATTAAAGTTAATTTCCTTATTTTATATGGTCGTTGTGTTGTGTGATGTGATTGACTCACGAGATTGTAATGATACGTGAAAATGATCGCGTATTTAAGATAATTTCGTATAAGCATCGGAGAAACAGTACCAAGAAGAGAAAGTGGACACAGATAAGGATCATGAAGCGGAACAAAACAAGAAAGAGAACAATTGAACTGCGTATTCTACGTTTTGATAAACTTCTTCATGTCTTATGAGAGAAAAAAAGAAGGCAAAAAGCATGTGTTTGAGTTAGTGTGTAAGTTTATAACATTTAATTAAAATTGTTTATAATTAAATCATTTTCATTTTCCAGTTAATTTTATTATTAAATATCTGTCATTCTCAAATTCGTTAGTTGTTCTTAAAATTTCCAAAGCTCTATAACCTTTTACCAAAATGATTTAACTCTAAAATTAAGAAATTAATCTTTAAAAAATAAAGTATAATATTTATTATTAATTAAAAATCTAACAGTTGTTATTATAATTATTTTTAGATTTTTTTTAAAAATTTAATTTTATAACATTTTTAATTAATTATTTTTTAATCAATAATTACGAATGCACTTTATCCTTTAAAACATATTCTCTTAATTTTAAATAGTCAAATTTATTTCAAAGATGTCGCAAGAAAACAATCTATCATTAGTTGATATATATATATATATATATATATATAATAAATACATACACTAAGTTAATTTCTAAAATGTGTAATGCACTGTTTTAATTTATTTATCTGCATATTCTGACAAAAAAATTTCATAAGGCAATGAAATAATATTTAAAATGGGAGATGCAAAAATAAGAAATTAGTAACTCATAAAAAAAGAAAAGACACAAAGAGAAAGAGGTAACAATTAGAAAATAATGAAAAAGTGAAAAAGTGTTTTATATATATATTTATTTATTTTATTTTAGAGATTTCTTTTCGCGAACTTTGTATTTTTTTTATTTTCTATTTATTGAAAATAAAGTCAATTGTAGTATTTAATAAAGTAAAAAAAACTAGTGCCCTCAATATATGATTAAATTATAAATTTTCAATTCTTTCTTGTTATATTATGAGAAAAATACGTCAGTAGTATTTATATGTTGGATATATAAATTATATTATAATTAAAATTCATAATTCTTTTTTTTTTCTCTTAATTTTTGGAGGAGGTTAACTTATGTTTAAGTGATTAAAATATCTTATTTTGAGGAAATATTTTGTAAAAATTCTAGCATGATTATCTTGTATTCCTGACCGTGAATTTATCGTTGTCAAAATCAAATCGTTGGATTGTTATCTTGACTAATTTGATCAATAATTAATACAATTGTCCACATGTTGAATTGAAACAGTTTATTAACTTTAGACTCGGAGGATATAATAACAAATAAATAAATATATTTTTTTAAATAATTAATAATTAATATTTATATTATGATTAAAAATATTGAAATTTAATATAAAATAAAAATAAACATAAGTTAAAAAATAAAAGATTAAGAAAAAATTCTATAAACTCTCTCTTCGAAAAATAAATTAAAAATACTTTCAAAGAAAATAAATCATTCAAAGATATATTTCAAACTTTTTGCCATGTATAATACTAAAAAATTCATTATTTCATACCTTAGATTGGTTTTCATTAAGTTAACCTTTATAGTGTTTGGATATGGAATTTTATAAATTCAAAAAATTTAAAATTTTTGGTATTTAAATTACTTTTAGCTACGAAATATAAATAAAGTATCATACTTTAGTTGAAGGTACACAAATACATACATACGAATACATATTAGTACACGTAGAAAACAAAATTGTCTTCTCACTGAACGCGTGTCGTTTTGTACGCTATGATTCCTATCCAAACCCGTTAGCGTTCACTAGGTTGATACTCCGTTCCATGATCCAAAACGTTACGGAGTAAACAGAAAAAAAAAAAAAAGAGGTTATAACCCAACCCGACCCGACCCGATCACGAAGCTTACCGCGGAAAGTGAAACTCATCTCTGCACATATCTTCCCAAAATCCCTCGCGATTTTTCCTCAATCTCCCAAACCACGTACTCAACTAAATTAATAGCTATCGTTATTATCACTGCGAATTTGCAATCCCGTGATGTTTTGCTGAACTCAGTGCTTAACACTCTGCAACACGCGTGAATTTGAATCTGATTGTAATTCAGGTTTTCTCCTCGTGTTTATGGAATGATGAGTGTAACTTGGTTGCTGAGTACTGGTTTTCACAAGATGGTGCCTATTCTCTAGAGAGGAATATGCTCTCTTACCATGCTTTGGACGTGGTGGAGTGGAGCATGGTTAGTGTTATCGACCTTCCAAGGTTAGTCATCTCTGTCGCCTTCATAATTAATGCTGTTGAGTTATCTCTGTTTCTACATGATTTAACGTCTACGTGGTACATTAAGCGGTGTAAATCTTTTAACTGCCTTTCTCTGTTTTGCCAATGGGTTTCATGGATGCGTGGGGCATTGTACCTGTGTCATGTTTGGATAAACTTTTCAATAAGATAATAAGAAGGGAAAATGGATTGAGTGTTTTTTAAGCTAAAATAACATACTAGTACGGTACGGGGCATGGCAAATCCCCCCTTCTGCCTAAAAAACCCAGGGTATGGATGCAACAGGTATCATATCGAAAATATCAAGATATAAACAATAAGTTATTAAATCATAAGAATTATTTTAAAAACGTTTTGGAGGAGTGTAATAGCAAACCAAACCACTTAGTGACAAAACCTGGTATTTTACATGGACTGACTTGTATTTGAAAAATAAGTGAGTAAAAGACGACTTTCCAATCTTAACCATTAAGTACTAATATTTGGTCGTATTCTGGGTTAGGCAACCGATCAGGAGGACCCGTGTTATGTTATGCATCAAAGGTTTATACTTTGAGTTTGATAAGAAAATGGGTTATTTATGCTGCTTGTTCCTCTAGTGGCATGTTTGCTTTAACCTTATTTGTGCCCTGTAATAAACAGGGTTAAGGCGTTGATTGGATGTATTATTACTAGATTCAGATTGGGACAATGTGCTGAATATAGTCATCAACCTTTTTTTCTTTTTTTACTTTTGAAATTTTTTTTTCTTTGAAAGTTTAGTACATGTTCTCCGCTCAGCTGTGGCTAATCCATAAGTACAATTAGTTAAGAGAAGACAAAACGGAATACTAGTTCAAGACTTCAAGTAAACCTTTGAAAGGGAAATGATAACATCCCTTTAATGGATTATATGACTTCCATGGTATTTGGGGATTTATATGTGATCATTAGCACTTTGTAATGGTGGATAAAATGGTTTCCCCAAAGAAATAAGCAATATAGGGGGAAAGGGGAATAAAGGTAATTCAAAAGTGAAGTTTAATTTTCAGACTTTTTTTTTGTACATCATAATCATCTCTGCTTTGCCACGTTTTCACATTTGAGAACTTTGGATGCATGAAAATGCCCTATTTTATTCGTCTCTGCCTTAAAGTCTATATAAAATGCTATTAATTTTGCTCTTGCAAAAGTTTCCTTTTTATTTCTAGTTTCAAACCTGTAATTATTTAATTAAACTTTTGATCAGTAGAGCTTGTCATTTTGTGTAACCATAGGGCCTCATGCTTTATTTTTTATACATAAACATTATTTGACATTTCTCTGGGATCCCATTTATTTGAGGAGCAAGTGTGCCTAAAGCTACTTTGCTCAAAGATTTATAATTCCTGCTATTCTGGCAGTTGATCTATTATTTCTGTATGGAATTCAATGTATGCTAGGTTTTCTTTCTCCTGACCATAAGAGAAGCAGTTACAACGTTTCATTTTTTGGTAAGGGAGAGGTTAATCTTCCACAATGTCTTCCCTTCAACTATTGCATCTAACTCGGAATGGCCAGAGTTTTCTGGCTTCAAGGAGGTACTGATCTGTATCCTTTTTTTTTTTTTTTTTTCTGGTGCTTCTTAATCTCATATGTAGCATTGAATTTGACCCAAGTTGTTTGCTTGTTTCCTAAATATCAAATTTATAATTTTATCAGCTATTCTGTTCATTATTCCTAGGAAAGTTCTGAAGAATCCTCCCTCCTCCCTCCCAATTCTCATTATCCAAAATGAAATGCATGATGCTCAAAAACATGATAAATGTAAGGGAATTCAGGCAGTACTCAGCACTAGTGTATGTTTCATAAAAAAGGGTCAAATCAAATGAGATAATGCTTATTTTACAATTTCTACATCCCCATGGCCCATCCTGTGATCTTGAGACTTCACATGCACTTTAGTTTAAACTCTTAGAAACTATTAATTATTAATAATTTCCATAAGAAGTTGGACTGTGAAAACTTGCATTCATTAGGTATGATTTGCAATGTGAAACATAAACTTAGGAAACTTAGTTTTAAAGAGAAGAGTCCAGGAAGGAGACAACTCTTGTCTTGGCAGAAGCATTGGTGCAAATTTTCATATTTGATCCTAAATTTCTTTCTCAATGATTCCACTTCTTTTTAACTGCAATGCACTTTATGCTGGGTTGATTGCCTAAAATGGTGGAATTCTTGTTCTTGATTTTAACATTACCATTATAAAATTTATCTGAGAAGTGTTTTTTCTGCTTTGATCAAAGCACTGTTTCTATGTATCTTTTTACTCATTGTACACCATACTTTGGTTGCTGACTGATACTACTAAAATCTTTATGTTATTTAACTAATTTGCGTGTATTTTATACTGTAGTATTATTGATGCTTTCTCCATTCGGTTGAATGACAGGAAAGCTTTATTACTTACATCTGGTATCTTATTCGCTGGTGGAACAGCTGCATATATGCAATCAAGATTTAGAGCTAATAAACATGATTTATTTGACCATTGCAATGGGCACAACAATGAAAAAGACACAGAGGAGGAGGTTGTGAAGAGTGTTAATGCACCAAAAAATAAACAAAAGAAAGGGTTAAAGTCACTCCAAGTCCTTGCTGCAATTCTACTATCTAAGATGGGCAAATTAGGTGCAAGGGATCTTTTAGGTTTAGTTGCTATTGCGGTACGTCAGTTTTGCTGTGGATGATTATGCATTATACATAGCTTCAACTTTTCAAAATGAGCCATAATTTAATATATTCAAGTATTCATCATAGTTTTTGACTCCATCTATTTATCTTTAAAATTATTGAATCTAGTCCTGAGTTAGTTCCTACCATATGTAATATATATTCACTATGATCAATACAAATCAAATAGCTTGTTGCTGTCATTTATGTTTGTGGTTAAACGTGAAGTCTGCTGTTATGCACACCTTGAATGAGCAAGCTGCATGTCACTAGGTCAGAATCTGTAAGACAAAGAAATATGTTGGTTGAATGCCCTCTCCCCAAAGAAAAAAATAGCAGATATTAAAATTATTGGCTTTTAAAATTCCACGAAATTGCAGGTGCTGCGAACTGCTTTGAGCAACAGGCTAGCTAAAGTGCAAGGCTTCCTATTTCGTGCTGCTTTTCTTCGACGTGTACCATTGTTTCTTAAGCTAATTTCAGAAAATATTCTTCTGTGCTTTCTTTTGTCAACCATTCATTCTACGTCAAAGTATATAACAGGGACTTTGAGTTTGCATTTCAGAAAAATATTGACAAAGCTTATCCATTCCCACTATTTTGAGGTAATAATTGTTAAATTGCATGTCATTTATGTCTATTTTAGATTGTATGCTTTGAATTGTTTTGTTGATCAATTTATATATTCCTAGTTGCTACTCAACTGTCTTAAGTGTTTTTATCCTTCTTCACTCTGTTGTTTTTCTTATTTTTTGTTCTTTTATTTTACACGTTTATATGACAACTTTGTTTTTATCTCTACTTGCAAAGTTTAAAAATTCAATATGCATATTTTCAGAATTTGCCTGATGGTACCTTCTATTGTGTAAAGAATATGGATCATAGTTGGTTACAAACTTTTAACTTTCTTGGTACATGAATTTAAATTTATTAAAGATATAATTGAAAAAGAAAAGAGAAAAAGTGCCTGATGGTCCTGTTGGTTATTTTGCGGATCTTGGGCTGCTCCTGCCCAGGATCATTCCAGATGCTTTTCCTCATCTTCTTGCATTAAGTGGGTGTTTCTTGAGAATGTTCTTGAGCAACTGTTTGCTTCTCGAAGTAAAATAACTATTCAGTATCCATTAGGTTCTTTAAAATTCCAAGTATGCAATGCCAGACTCTAATATTTTTTGGTTGTATGATAAGGTTATTCTCAAATGGCTGAGTAAAGCCTAAAAGGTGTATTGTAACACAATTTAGTTCTTGCAATGGCTTTATGTTTATCATTCATTTTGCTTTCAGAACATGGTGTATTACAAAATATCGCATGTTGATGGTCGGATAACTAACCCAGAGCAAAGAATTGCCAGTGATGTGCCAAGGTTCTGTTCGGAGTTAAGTGAAATTGTACAGGATGATCTAACAGCAGTTACTGATGGACTTCTATACACTTGGAGGCTGTGTTCATATGCTAGCCCAAAATATGTCTTCTGGATATTGGTATGTCTTCAATTGAATTGTACTTTATATATTTGTGATTAGCAGCTTCTGTTCATACCTTTTGAGTTTTTGCTGATGTCTGGAAGCTATTAGAACTTAGATCTGATGTTAGAATCAGTATTTGTCTTCTCAATCTACTGTCATGATCTTTTCAGGCATATGTACTTGGAGCTGGTGCTGCAATCAGAAACTTCTCTCCTTCATTTGGAAAACTTATGTCCAAAGAGCAACAATTGGAAGGAGAGTATCGACAGCTTCACTCGCGATTAAGGACTCACTCAGAAAGCATAGCATTCTATGGTGGAGAGAGGAAAGAAGAATCTCATATTCAACAGAAGTTTAAAACCTTGGTTAGGCACATGCATAAAGTGCTACATGATCATTGGTGGTTTGGCATGATTCAGGACTTATTACTGAAGTACCTTGGTGCTACTGTTGCTGTTATTTTAATTATTGAACCTTTCTTTTCTGGTCATCTAAGGCCCGACAGTTCAACTTTAGGGCGTGCAAAGATGTTAAGCAATCTTAGATATCATACTAGTGTCATAATATCCTTATTTCAGTCCCTAGGAACACTTTCTATCAGTGCAAGACGGCTCAATCGTCTCAGGTCTGTTGGATCTTTCATTTCTGTCATCTATAGAAGTTGATATTAGAGGCTTTTATTGGTCACATTAGGCTTCCCGTATATGCAATTCCTTTGTAAGATTCATTTTGTCTGCCTACATGTTCTGACCTATCTGTATGTATTACAGTGGGTATGCTGATCGCATTTATGAATTAATGGCTGTCTCAAGGGATTTGAGCTTGGTGGATGAGAAATCTTCCCTGCAAAGAAAAGGAAGTAAAAATTGCATAAGTGAAGCTAACTACATTGAATTTTATGGTGTCAAGGTAAGTCAAATCTGGTCAACTATCTATCAACCTTGACTTCATAATATTGAGTTTGTAATGTTTTATTAGTGACTGTGCACCCAAATTCAGGTTGTGACCCCCACTGGCAATGTCTTGGTGGATGATCTGACTCTTAGGGTTGAACCAGGGTCTAATCTTTTGATTACAGGTGTCTGAACTCTCTTTTTAGTGGCCTTTCTTTCTATTTTTATTTATTTTTCTTGGGCTTGACTCAGCATTGAAAATTGATGTTATTTATTATCTATTTCTATGATGTAAGAGTCATTGTTAAGCTGTGATTTCTGATGGTTGATATTTTGACATGTTATTAATGCTTCTTTGGCTGAAGGTCCAAATGGCAGTGGAAAAAGCTCCCTTTTCCGGGTTCTAGGTGGTCTTTGGCCTTTGATTTCTGGATATATTGTGAAGCCTGGAATTGGCTCCGATCTTAATAAGGAGATTTTCTATGTGCCGCAAAGGCCATACACTGCTGTAGGAACACTTCGAGATCAGTTGATTTATCCTTTTACTATAGATCAGGAGGTTGAACGACTCACAGATCATGGGATGGTGGAGCTGTTAAAAAATGTAAAGTCCACATCTAATCCCATGTTTTTCTCAATTTCACACAAATGTGTAGCAGTTTATTGATAATTTAGCTGATGCTATTGTTTATGGAACTTGCATGTATATGTATCCAAGGTTGACCTTGAATACCTGTTGGATCGTTACCCGCCTGATAAGGAGGTAAACTGGGGTGATGAACTTTCATTGGGTGAGCAGCAGAGATTGGGCATGGCAAGACTTTTTTACCATAAGCCTAAATTTGCAATTCTAGATGAATGCACAAGTGCTGTCACCACTGATATGGAAGAGCG